AGCGTTATTTTTTATATTATAATTTATTTGAAATATTGATCCAAGTTCGATTGTTGCATTGAACTAACCTTTTTTTCGCTACTATACCTTTCTGAAATATTTGCACACTTCAATTGATCTTTCGTACTTTCTTGTTGCAATAAGAGTGCTTGTACAGTCTCTAGGCTTTTTAATGCAGAACTCGCGCTAATCACCGTTATTTCAGTACTGTCATCCGCGTTCTCTAAATCGTCTTTAAAAATCTCAGCAGGCTCTGTAACTCTTTGTTCATTATCTGGATCTCATAAACAATGTTTTATTCGAAGTTATTCACCCATGGGTCCGGTTCATTTGCCCGACGGTCATTTGCACTACCCAAAAAAGGATAACATTGAAATAATAATAATGCTGGTAAATATTTGCCGGGCAAATAAACTGTCGGGCAAGTGAACGGCTCCCGTTGTGAGAATTGCTACCTTTTCTGGTCAGTTTATTATTATAGTCGTTGTATTGAGTTTATTAACATGTGTTCACATTTATAGACATCTTTGGTGAATATAGCTTGCAAAACTGCACAAGAAACGTATCAGCCAAGTCGAAATGTGTACAACAAACCAACTAACTTGTTATTTCAATCAACACAACACTATATTCCCAAATATTCAACTCTAAATAGAAATTTTATGTATGTTGTACAGAATAAGTCAACGATATATATCAATGTACAATAAACTTAAATTAATTATTGAGGCACTGGATATGAATTTTATACATGACAGGTGAAAAGAAGTTTGCGTGTTATTAGAGACCGGTTGGTTTCTTAAGCGTCGTATCATATGCGCGGATAATTCTTGTCTCCTATTTAAGGGATAATTCAGTGAGTTAATTGATAGAGACGTTGCAATTGCGAAACAAACTGTTGCTTCGTTTCTATAACGTAAATTCGACACATTACCTGTCCTGATTCGTTCTGTGAGAAAGCGAATCCACGATTTCGTCGCAGTCTTTGTACCGCACGCACTTTCCGAATAGCCTTTTGGAACTGCTCCATACGCGGTCTGTAATCTGGTATGTTGTATTTTTGTATCTCTTGTACGGTATGATACGATCTTGTCGAATACATGCGTTTAGCACTAGATGATTGAAAGACGGAACATTTAATATCACAGTCGATAATACGAATCATCTTTGCAGAAAATATAATACTGCCAATACTTACTATTTCCATACGTAATCTCTAAGCAGACAGATTGTGGGTAATAATAACACAGTCAAGTAGAATACAGGGGTGCCGAAAAGCATGGGTACAATCCCCTCATACTCCTCCGAGACTCCGAGTTTTGGTGCGATAATTGCGTATATTGGAAGGAAAACTAACCAGAAGACGAACGACCCAGGTATTGCAATGTACGTATACTTCGTCCATAAGCTAATTGATAAGAGATTAATGATAAATATGTTAGCCACAGTAATAATAGACACAGACACACATATATCGGGTGAAACATACTCGGTAACGAGGGCGGCTTTACCCAAGACGGTTGCAAGAACGGCCGTGTATAATGTCGTACCCCATACCCAATGTCCAGCAAGTAGTCCGTTAGGTAATATCAGATCGTTATTGAATATGTATATTGAGCAGAAATACAAAACCTGAAAACAGTCATCGTTGAATAAATTAGTATCAATAATATGTATGCAAAACGTTCACTCCAAAGGCTTTCTTACCAGGGAATGATAAAATGCGTTTATAGTCCATCCCCAAAAGCTTTTCACGTTGAACTAAAAATAAAAATAAAAATTAATATCATTACATAAGCACCAATCTTTTGTGAACAATTCTATACTTACGAATTCGCCCTTTTGGCCAACCTGGTACATCTGAGGATATCTGTCCAACATTCTTGCGCTGACATATTGATCGAATACGCCCATGACTATAGGCGGCAATACAGTAAAGAGCACATTATAGTAACTAATCGTCCATGATTCATATATAACTTGTCCAGAGAAACTATTGTGGAATGCAAACTAGATAAAAACAAACGATCGAAAGTAAAAGTGATGGTCAAAAATGGGTGTCAATTTCCTGGCATCTTTATCAGAGCCACAAGTTAATTACTCCAACTCCACCGGTACTCATTGATGGTACCCTAACCACATAATTTCCCAACTTACCCAAAACTGAGTCATATATAATGTTATGTTCTTGTAGAAAGAATACAGAATCAATTTGCTCAGTCTCTGATAGCTCCAGGCTCCATGCACTAACAACAGTTTCTTCAAGTATCTGAACTGACTAATAGCCACGTCTGCAGATCTTGCAGCTTGTAGCCCCTCGAGACCACTGATACCAACACCAACGTGAGCAGCTTGAATCATAGACACATCATTCGCACCATCGCCTATTGCAAGAAGGATTGCTTTGAGATGTCGTTTGACCAACTTGACAACCAAAGCTTTTTGCAGGGGTGATACACGACAACAGACGACTGCTTTGCACAAAGTTGCAAGTTCAAGGAAGGTTTTCTCGAGCTCCTTTTCCAAGGCAAATTCCAACGTGCGGCCATCAATTATAAGGGCTAGAGGCTGTAAAGCGGAAATGTCGCATCGAAAAGAGTTGAAAACGGCAAAAGTTGATTAGTAGGCGTCAGGTAAATATAAACATATGTAAATGTACAACTATAAATACCTCAGCATCAACGTTAGCCCGTCCTTTAATTGCTTGTAATTTCTTGTCCAAGAACTGCTGTGTATCATGTCTATTCTCTTCATTCACTATGATCAATGACATATCCTCTGAAATCAGCTTACAACTTAGACCGATATTTATAGCCGTTTCCTGCCTATCGCCTGTTAAAACCCAAATCTTAATCCCTGCTTGCTGCAGCGTATGAATAGTCTCCGGCACACCATCTTGTAATTTATCTTCAATTGCCGTAGCTCCCAATAAAAACAAATTCTTCTCAATCATCTCTGCCGCTTTATCGAGCTCTTCCTGTCTATTGACCAAGGTAGTTGATGCTTTATCGTATATCCCTGACCATACTTTGTATTCTTCTTCGGATATTTCTCTCATTGCGATACAAAGCGTACGTAGACCTTCGGTGGCATAGTCCTCGAGATGTTGAAGTGTTTGTTCAACGAAAGGATTGTCTTCGCTTAAACGTTCGAGGATGACAGTATCGGCACCTTTGCAATAGAGTTTAATTTTTCCGTCAGAGCAGCGGACGACTGTTGACATGCGCTTGCGAGTGCTGTTGAATTCGCAGATGTTAAGGATTTCGTAATCATATGAAGTGCCATTCACTGTTATGCTAACTGATTTCGGGCGACGTGTCTTTTACATGATACCATAAAATTAGAAATAGAAGCTTGGGTATTGAACGTGACGTATTATTATTCATAACTCACCGTGAAAACGTAATTCAGATTGGCAGCACCTTTTACTAGGGCACCCTCATCGGGAGACGACGCTTGATATACGATTTCTAAATAATGTAAATAGCAGTTTTATGTTTAATACACCTTTCAATTTCTTGTCAGCTTGTTTTTTTTAATATGCATACCGTTCTTTTCGTCTTTTTCGGGAATAACCGTATGACAAACAGCCAACAATGTCAAAAACTCGTTAATCACGTTCGCAGTAGGATGATTTTTTAAGTTTTCACCCAATCGGGTAAAGTCGTACATTCCGACTTCAGCTCCATCAACGACACGGGCTTTTTTGCTTTCTTCGACAACATCAGCATAGGCTATGCCCGCGATCGAACACTGCCGGAATTCCATTTCATTACACGTGAGAGTTCCTGTCTTATCTGAGAATATGTACTCGATCTACGTATTATTAACGAAACATTAACCTCTTACCTTATTCGCTTATTCGAAACAACAAAGACGACAGGACATGAGCTACAACAATCATTAATGCTCACCTGGCCTAATTCTTCTACCAAGCTACTTGTTCTACATAGTGCTGGTGTATCTGTTTTCTCATAATACATGTCTAAATCGTTGTTTATTAAAGACGCTTGTTGAAATTTAACGACTTCCATTGTGACAATTAAACTGGTGAGTAAAAAGATAAGATTAGTTAATCTTACTCATACAAGTAAGAGAAAAATTTCTTGAATTACCTTATAGGAATTAAATTATTAAATAGAATCAAAAAAGTCAGAATGTTAAACCCAAATTGTCCAATGACAGTTTGACCTGTCAGCAGAAAGAGATATGGCATCTCGCCGTTAAAATTAACCTATATTATAAATTGATGAATAATTAATAAGCACGCTCGCTTCGCTTTTGTCTCAACTTGATGTAAATGATAACGACACTTACAACTCTAATAACACTTCCAATAGAGCATGCCAGACTCATAGCTAGCAATATACAAAACAAAAAGATAATCTGGACGTTGACTGTTTTTTCTACATTAGTTCTTTTGATCGGTGTTGCACTATTTAACAGAACATCCGAAAAGTAAGTAGTTTGAACGAGGAAACACGAAAACAATATTGCCATATCAACAGACCTTGCGTTTCTCATCAACTTGGTCTCATGACCAGTGAATACTACCAGTCCATATACCCAATTTGTATTTCTTAATTGAGCACCCTGAAAAACATTTATAAATTAGTTCTTGATTATAACGTAAAAGTTGGTGCTGTTGCATTCCGCTCGCAACTTTCTGCCTATTATCTAGAAGACGCTTCCTCTGCACATACTCTGAGTAGTATCTGAGTAGGATCCAAAGGAATCTGTTTCTGTCCACTTTGTGTTGTTAAGTATAACGTTCCCTCGTATGTATACAAACTGTTATTAGGTTGCTCGGATTTTAGGTAGCCTGCAGTCGAGATTGTAAAGTTAGATTGAGTTGAACAAAAGTAATAGCGAGAAATTATGTAGTGCTTATTACCGTTTAGGTGACTGATTTCTAACGCAGAAGTCGATATTGCTGTTTCCGGCGGTGCTTGCTTGATCTTTAAATTAGTTTCTCTAAAGATATACAAACAGTTGTCATTAACGAGTGATATTATAATAGAATGTCGAGACTGGCATCATATCCGATCAAAAAGTCGGAACCAACCAACTAGTAACGATCCTCTTTCCTGTGCATATTCATATCCCCCCACTTACTAACCCGTCTAGATTACTTGTCTCAATATAACACAATCCCTCTGGTTCAGAACTACTCAATAAAATCAAATCTGCTGGGAAAAATTCTCCGTTTTCAACGCGTACTATATCTCCCACTTTTACGTTATTCCATTCTTTTGAAACAAATTGTGAGCCTTGTAATGATTTGCATTCGCGAGAGTTTACTTCCGAGTCTGATTTATGACGTTTCTTTGATAGTGAAAATAAAAGTTATAGACGGAATGTGAGATATGCAAGTATCATATATTAAATTATTGATGACGATTTGATGCAAACTGTAGTAACATAAATGAGCGAACGCCTACATAGTCTTCCACTATTTCTTTGAATGCAGTTGCCGAAAGCACCACGATTAATGGTCCTAGAGTAGTATATCTGTTCGTCGGTGACACGTTTTTAATTTGCTTTGTAAAAAAGGAAGAGTATCTGGTTAATTGAATTACGAGACCGAGTTTACAATCCATTGCCACGCCCGAATTGTAAAAATACCTGAATTGAAGCTTATTTGGTCGATGGAGACCGAGAAGCAGGAATGGAAAGAACGTGACAAACACAATTAATAATAGTCAGGTCAATCTTTCACGGAATTTATAAATAATTCCCGTAAAGGTAATTCGAATGCAACCAACAGTACAATACCTGTGAACAAGAAGAACAAATTTGCGTATTTTGAGAATTGTTCGTACAAGAACTTTGGCAAGAATGTCGCAAAATTGTATTTCGCAGTTGATATTTTATTATGCAAAAACTTTTGTTGCGCGTTTCTTTCTGGATTGTTTATGTACACTGTTCTCCCGACATTATCATCCCCATTGCCACCATTGCCGCCGCTACCACCAGATTTGCCGGTTATGAGTCCGTGTGTTTCAGTCGAGGCAGGCGAGGTACTAGCAGCGTGTGCGGTAAGCGGTAAGTTAGCATCACTCATATTAGATACCTGACGCATAAGACCCGATTTGTCGGAATATAAATGTTCGTGCTCTTCTTCGTCGTCAGGAGCGTCGTTGTAGTATGGGTCGAGGGAGGATAAAGTGGGGGAATTACGACGATTGCCTTCACTCGGTTGATAATACTGTGGTCTGAAAGTCGGTGGTGCAACAGCAGGCTGCAGGCTCTGCAGAGGAAATGCCGCTTGTGAAGTAGTTGAAGAAATCTGAGTTGTAGAAGGATAGTCGTCCTCGTCAATAAGATTTTGGTGAGATGAGAGTTCAAGTGGAGTACTGTGGTAAGTACCCGACATTATTACTTGTGTGCAAAAATAGGAAAAGAGAGAGGTCGGGCAAAAGTCGCAGAAATAATCACTGTGCTACAGCAAAAGTGATAGCGTTAGCTGCTGATTTGATAATGTTGACAGAAGATTAATTAGGACAAGCCGGGGGGCTTTGCTCCAGTTATTGGGCAACGTTAGACAATTCGGCTTAGAGTACAAAATTTGAAGGGGTGTGTCAAATTAGATAACGTTCACACCCTTCAACTCCAACTATAACCAGTATTGTAAGACCATGAGCTGTGTTGAATACATTATTTAAAACGGTCTGATATAGTAATCCGCTTTATTTGTTATTTCTTTTTCTTTTGATTGTTTGTTTTGTCTTTGTTGTTCAGAAATTGGGTCTTGACGTTAACTAACCAAACAGCAACGTCAGCTTGGCTGGAATTAGCTGCAATTGTTGATCGTGAATAGTATTTTTTTAAATAACCCAAAAGGATTCTAGTGGACAATTTTGGTTTGTTAAAAAGAATTATCCATTGTCTATTGACCATGTTAATATTCATGCAGCGTATTAGTGATCCTGAGAGAACAACAACTACTATTTGTCAGTAACCCACTGGGAAATTAGAATGAGAGAAACAATTGGCAGGATTGGTTGACGACAGAAAAAAGAATACTTGTAAGTAAACACTGAATGTCACATTATGGTAAGCAAGCTTTGACACCAGTATTTGAATCACTATTCAGGGTAAGTTGGCGTATTCGCACACCTCGGTATTCGTGATTTCCACGAGGTCAGAAATTTAACTTCATATATATTCTTGGGAATCCAATTCCAGTTGCAGTTAAATACATATTCTGTGTGATCAATACTTTTAATTGATTCATCTCGTACAAATAAAGCAACAATAATTAATCACACTCCTGCATAACCCGTTTTCTTTCTGTCGTTCTCTGCGCATATGTACATACGTTTCTAAGAATAAATTTGTTTGTTAGTTGAGGGTCAATTACGTTAACAAGTGTGTTTTAAGTAATAACGTAAAGAGGAATTCAAAGATGGCGAAAGCAAGAGAAAAAGAGTTTGATACCTTGCAGTTGTTGATTTTTATTTGAAAAGAATAAACAGAGTTGACAAAAAATTTCTAGTTTTCTCAATAATTTTAAACCTGGTAACAATTACGCTCACGCGAAAGCTGTTGTTTGAAAACCG